AACTAATATAAACTACAAAGTGCACAGTGATTATTAACAGCGTAATCCACTGGAACCACTAATCTAACCTACAAAGTGCACAGTGATTATTAACAGCGTAATCCTCTGGAGCCACTAATCTAACCTATAAAGAGCACAGTGATTATTAACAGCGTAATCCACCGGAGCCATTAAATTTAACCTACAAAGTGTACAGTGATTTCCAATAAAGTGTAATCCACTGGAGATACTTAATCTAACTAACAAAGTGCGCAGTAATTATTGACAGTGTAATCTACTGGAGCCACAAAAACTATTCATCAGTGTACGTTATTATCAACAGCATAATAACTGCATTCATCAAGAAAATTTACGAAGCGGTCAAGAAGCTACAGAATCACATCAAACAAGGTTAGTCAAAGCAATCCTTTCTAACTTATCCTAAACTCATCCTAATCTTTTACCTATATCTATACTTAACCATCTGTAGAATTTTGTGTGAGTCTACTTTAAAATGGATTCATTAAAATCATTACAATCTTTACAAAACGAACTAACATTAATAAAAGCTCGTCTAGCAGAATTTGAACAAACTTGTAACAAAATGTCAAAAATTCCGTGTAGCGAACTAAATGTATTACAGATAAACGGTATTTTGGAAAAAGTGAAACCTATGATAGACACGTTCCAAAATACACTTGTCAAAATAACTACCTTTTTAGACGACGAAGAAGAAATTGATCAATTATTAGAAACAGAACTACTTGATTTTGATGACGATCATACTAGATGTCTATCAAAATTACGTAAACTACTTAATAAAGCATCTACTAAATCTGGTTCTACTAGCAGCTTTAGTGATCAAACAATCATATCGTCAAACAATATAAAACAACCTCCAATTTCGATCAAATTACCTGAGTTTGATCAAAATATCAATCATTTCCAAAATTTTAATTACCCTAAACCCGAGGCAGGGAGCATAACTGAATCTTTACCTGTACTCGACAAAAACTGTTCCTTCGCGACGGAATTATCAGAAACACGAAACGAAAATAATAAAACTACGTATAACATTCCGACAAATACTTTTAACGCAAACATTTTAAACATTCCAAAATTTGAAAAATTACCAGACTCAACATGTAATAAAGCAAACTTTGTTATCGACAACGAAACATTTTATAATAAAAACATAAAATTAAGTAACAATAAACCTGATTTGTATATTACTCAATTCGGCTTAAACGGGAACACGCATCCCGAATCTTTTACACTTTATAATTCTACCTCAAACCTGGAAAACCAGGTACTAGCCGGAAAACAAAATCTCACCCCAAATACTACGAGAATTACCTGGCGATTCGGTATAAAAATTCCTTTTGCCAACAATAAAAATCTGGCACGTAATAAACATATTATGTTAAAGAAATTTAAATGTTTTGAATACCACTTACGATCGAACGATAAATTATCTAAAGAATATTACCTCATTACCGATGCAAGTAAAATACTTTTATTACTAACAACCAAACAAAATTTAACAAAACTTTTAACAAATGCCAAATTAAATCTCTATGATTTCAAAACTAATCATTTTAAACTTTTAGATAAACCCTATATTTATTTTAACAAACAAACTGCTAAAACTCTAGATATAGTTTGTAACATACTAGATAGTTTTAGATTCAATAAGATAGTTTTAGCTAATAACGCTATAAATAAAACTATTATGAAAATACTTATTTCGGGAGCTGCAGCTCCAATATGTTATAAATTATTAATAACTCAACAATTACCACACGAATTTTCCGACGCAACAAAATGGGCATACAGAACTTTTACCTATTTATGCTCTACCTGGAAAAATTCTAATACTAAAATATATTTAACTACATCGAAACCTAAAGCAATGGCTTTAAAAAATATACCACTTAAACGACTTGAACTTTTAGCAAATCTTATACAGAAAGAAAAACGCGCATTAAACTTTACATTTGATAAGAAATTTTATTTGAATAACTATACGGTTACTTTATTTCTTATAAAACCTCTGTCATACAAGCGGAAAGCTTTGGTAACTGATAGAGTAGACGAAATAGAAACAAATTGTAATATAAACATTTTGACTTCTAATACTGCAATTAATCTAAACTTACGATTTCTATTGTGGTTACGAAAAACTTTCGATACAAACAACTTTTTAACTTTTAAAATTCCAATAACAAAAATGGAATGTGAACCTATTAAACGTGCTTCAAACAATACTTTTACTATCTTGATTGATTGTTGTATCACTAAAGCTCTTCATATTGTACAGACTTTTAATTTGACTGCGAAATGCTTTGTGGCCACACGGAAATGGTTCATTACGCAAAGTTGCAAAATTTACAAAATATATTCAAAAAACTGTTCAAATTTTGTTAACGCAGCACCAAACTTAAAACGATTTCATATGATGCTACAACATAAATCAATTAACACAAGGGCAACAAATAATTTAGTAATTAAACTTTTAATAAATTATATCATATCAAAGACCCTTCATTTCGAAACTATCGATTTACTATCTATTCATCTGTTGAATCTTATAAAGCGCGTTAAAATGAGATATCGGGAACATTTATTTAACTCACAAACATTCTTATGAACAATTTTACTTGAACACATTTTAACGCAGATTGACAAAATTCTAAACCTGAATCTCCTTTGATTCCAATCCTAATTACTAATCCTTAACAATTCACTTTCCAATTGGAAATTCTTTAACCTTTATACCTAACCCACTATTGCTTAAAATACCTGTCAAGAGACACCTCCGGATCCACAACTGCAGGAATCAACCTTTTGGAAACATGCAACGAGATCATGATTGCATATGCAATTATTATATCTAATTAGATTCTTTCAACCCTTGAACTGGCACTTGAGACGCGTTCCAGCAAACTATCCAGGGGAAGGAAGGTACTGTGTGTGTTGTGACCAATAAAACAAACAATAGTGTGGTGAATTGTGCAACAACAAAACTTTGTGTACTAATAACTAACAGGGATATATACCATATCATACAAATCAATGCATAAACTATTTTATCTTGAGACTTTAAACACCAAACCTGTGTGTGTTACCAATAGACATTATAATCAATCGTGAATTCATAAACTGTGCTATCACAAGACTTTAATCATTACTAGAATTTTATTGATAATAAAATCAATCATTTTTACATATTATTATGACTAATTAATCTTTATACATTTATATTGTAACTTTACTATAACACCATAACTATACGAAGCAATGTTGAAAAATCATGTAAATTAATTTCCCATTGTTTTTTCAAATCGGGCCGGCATGTTCGAGCCTCACAAATTTTATTTATCCATCTCCCTCTACCTATATACTGAACTCTCTCTAATCTGTAATAAAATAATTTCCTATCCTACTCTAGGTACTAAGATAGTTATAAGAAATTATCCATTCTGTACGCATAACTTGAACCGTGAACATCAAACAAATAAATACTATTAATAACTAACCAACTTATTTAACTTACATATTTTTAAAGGTCTGATATAGCCATTCTAATGATAAATTATATCTGGTCCTTCGAGGTAATTAAGTATCTGTGCGTAGTGATTTTTAATTGACTTTTAATAAACATTGCGCCGGGCGCTCACATAGGGTGTTAGGAAAACAAATTACGGAAAGGGACATTATCATTGAGAAAGCGAAATGATGCGTTCTTGCTTTCATCTAATGATGAAATACGAACGTAATATGACAAAAAGTCGTTTTGCAAAACCCAAAATGACTATAGATAGTCGAATCTCATATAATTAAAACGACAAAGGCCTTACAGATTCCAGGCATTTTCTGTCCGACAAATATCAAACGAAATGAAACCAGTCAAAACAGTTCCTTGTAACAGAAATTACGCACCTGGCGCTTTATATTTTGACGGTCGGTCTAATAATTTATTTTGGTCGGTCGGTATTTTTCATCGGAGTGATGAGGGCCTTGGCTACGGGGTGCGGTTGCAACTTCTGGAGGATTTTATATTTAATATAATGCTCAATAATTAAGTGACGCGCGAACGAAATACTAAATTCATATACAGACAAGAAGACACGTTCCCCCAAGGAGCAATCTTATCATCCAGTAATTACAATCCCCGCCAACAAACTGGTTCCCACTTGCGTTTACAAACACGTTCCCACCCTCCAACGCTGGGCGCCACGTAGCTGTCCCCCCGCACTCTAATCTGTAACCTGGAGCATTGGAGCGCATAACCCAACTCAGGCTCTTCGAGAATGGAATAACACCGATTTGCAATAAACTAATTGTTGACGGTGCCGACTTAATTTAATATTTTTCACACATATTTCTAAGCACCAATGTATTGAATAAACTCGATGTAATTTTAGTTGATAAATCCTATTTCCAAAGTTATTAACGATACTAGAATAGGCAAAATTATATGCATACATACAACCATGAATTAAAAATATGTAACTAGTTCGCAAACACGGCCGCTTTGCCATTATATAATTTTTAATTGTACCCGCACTTTATAGCGGCGCCATCAGCCGTATCCCAGGTTTAATTCTAGGTAAGAACTATGAAAATTCTAGGTATGAATATGAAAATGATAAACCTAATTAATATGAATAAATGATATAAAAACAGTATATATTAGTGATGTGCCGACTCGAAAATTTCCTGATTCGAGTGATTCGAATCAGAAAAAAACCTGATTCGAATCATGATTCGAATCAATTCGAAACAAGTTTATATATGAACAATTATAATTTAAGACAAGAAATAATATCACTTTAATAATTTTATAAGTGAATTTATTAATTTAGTAAGCAATTAATTCCAAAAAGTGCAGAGATTAATACATTTATATCAATATATATAATAATAAACTTGCTACAAATATAACTAATGACTACAAATATTTTTCTGAATAATAAGAATTAAGGAATAATAGTTGATTTAATTTATTTGGTTGTAACCTATTCCGTCGTTGATTAGTCAACATTCCAGCCTTGGAAAATAAGCGCTCTGACGGAACGGATGTTGCCGGTATACATAAATATTTTTTTGCCATTTTATATAAAGCAGGATATATGTTTTTTCTTTCCTCCCAAAACTGAACAGGATCTTGCTTTCTATTCAAATATGGCAAATTTATATATTCTTGCAATAATCTTTCTGGAAGAGAGATTGAAGTTTGTTCTATTGTCTGAACCACACGCATATCAAAATTTTCCCAGATTTCATCATCTATATTATGGTTTGACGGTACTGATAATGGTTCATTATTTTCGGCCTCTTCAATATGTTCTGCCGTAGTCATTTCTTTTACTTCATCTAAAACCAAAGCCATTGCTTTATCCGCACAACTCTCTAATCCAAAGGCTTTTTTCTTATATCTGGGGTCAAGAATTGTTGCTTTTGCTGTAATTTCATCATTTTCTAAATAACCAAATCTTTGACTTATATTTCTCAACAAGATTTGTTGCAAATTCTTCCCAGCATTAGTTGTTGGCGTTCTTTTATTTATAGAATTTTTTACCCCTTGAATTATAGGTATTACACTGGATAAGGTGGGATAAAATTCACCTGACAATGTTTTGGTTACAATTTCCAGTGGCTGTAGAATTTTCACACAATCTTCTAAAATAGCCCACTCAGCAAAACTCAGGTTTGGTGGAGGAGAATCTATTAAAGGCAAAGCTGCACATAGTGCAACTTTAACCCTCAATAACTTTTCGAACATATAAAAAGTAGAATTCCATCTAGTTGGTATATCTTGTGATAAAGTAATAACATCTAAGTTCATTTGCTTTTGTAATCCTTGCAGAATACCTGACGATTTCACACTATGTTTAAAATGTGCTACAATCGCTTGCGATAAGAAGTTCACAATTTTCTTTGTCTTTATCTAAACAATTTTTAACAACTAAATTTAAAAAAATAAAGTAATAGCTTTCTTCATATTCGGCGCATTATCAGTCACAACAGTATCAACTTTATCAAAGATTTGCCATTCAATTAACACAGATTTCAAACCATTAGAAATATTTTGTGACGTGTGATTTTCTCTGAGTTCTATTGTTGCTATGACTAATGAATTTAATTTGCTATCTTTAATAAAATGAGCAGTTGCGCTAAGAAAACTTTTCTGGCTATCGCTACTCCATATATCAGTCGTAATTGCAATGTTTTCGACAAATGTAAGTTTTGCCTTTGCTTCCGCACTATGCATTTCATATTTTTCCTCTAACATACGCGTGAGTACTTTTCTGGAAGGTAATACATAATCTGAATTTAGAATTTGCGAATACTTTTTAAATCCATCATTTTCCACTATCTATATCGGTTGCATATCTAAAATAATCATGTTCATTAAAGCATCATCGCCAGCTTTTTGATTAATTTTACCAGGAATAGTAAGCCGCATTTGTTTCAAACGTTTTGCAGGAGCCTCAGTACTCAAAATTGGTTGTGAGACATTTGGCACTACAGGTTGCGTTATAAGATTAACCACATTCACAGCAGATCTCACATTTTGAAATGTCACTTATTATTATTAGCTGATTAGCTGCTACAGCTTCACTATATTCAATAATATGTTTGTTTTTTAAATGATTAACGAGAGTGGTTGTACTTCCAGATTTACAATAGCTTAATGAGCACAATTTACACACCAGTTTATTATTATCAGCATTAATTGTGAAAAACTGCCAAGCGACGCTTGATTTAGTGGGAGGCATTTTTAATAATTATAATTAGCCAGTAAAAACAAAATCTATGTGAAAATCGGGAAAAGCAAACACACACTGACTCAAAGTAACGATTGTAAACACAAATTACTATCGATTAAAATATATTACAAAAATTATTAAATAATATTTAATAGACGGTCAAATAAATTTTTAAATGAATTTACAGTAAAATATAACCAAACACTTCTCTTTCACTAAAGCATATAAAACAATATTCTTAATCTTACGTTGAACGAATGCATGTTTATATTATTGATTGTTTAGATCTAATCTAAACAGAGGGCTGAATCTAACGTCTTATGAATGACTTAAAAATCAATCCACTACTGTAAAGATTGATAATATTTCATTTGTGTGAATTTGCCATTACTTACAAAATTAAAATATGATAATTTTGTAGTTGATAATGTCGTTGTGTAGTTGATAAAATGTTATAATATTTAAAATCTAAAACGCGTACTTATTATCTAAATGAGTTTTTTGTATTTCATGAACAAATTGGCTCTCAGCGCTTAGTCAAAAATAAACAAACACGCAAGTCGATAAGTCGATACGCTAAGACACAGACACATGTTTCGAACTCATATCGTTCAAGCCGCATGAACTCGGGATGATTCGGTTTGAGTCATATAAACTCGTATGAATTCATAGCGACTTGAAGTCGAAATAAGTCGGTTTGAGTCATAGGAACTCGGATGTTAATGAATGCAGTTGAAGTCATACAAAAACGATTGGAGTCGGCGTACATTTAAGCGTATTACAGTCGGTTGGCTCGCATGTTTAATTCATGATTATTTTTTATATTTATGTCATTTATGTTATTTATTATTATTTTTTATATCATTATAATATTAAATTAAATTAAAATATTTTTTTCATATTTATGAAAATTTGTGTTCATACATATTTTATCACAGTAAATATTTTGCGGCTTGATACGAGTTGATTCGAATCAAGTAAAATCTGATTCGAATCAAGTCGTTAAAGGCTTGATTCGAATGATTCGAATCACTTGATTCGACTTGGCACATCACTAGTATATATATATATATATATATATATATATATCTTCTTATATATAAAAATGGAGCTCTCGATTAAATTATCCGCTAAAGCTCGAAAACGGCTAAACCGATTTGGCCGGTCTTAGTCATGAAAAAATTGTGCTAATTAGTAGGTTGTCCGAAAGGTGAGATATTATTTCAAAATCGCGTAGAAACTTTACATTTTTTATTTAAAACTTTTTGCAGAAGCGTAATTTAAATAAAACAATGGTCGGTGGCTAATACGTGAAATGTCCAACGTTTTTGACAGATGATGTTCAATTCCTTTTAATAGGATGTTTTACGTGAATATTATTTAATTATGAAAATATTATTACTCAATATGAAAATGCATTTTTTGGCATTGTAGCACTCTTTTTTGCAAATCATATTTTTCTCAAACACGGTGCTCTGGAAGATGTCATTTGTATAATTATATACTCATTAGTCTTTATGAAACATTTTCTGTTATAATTTTCCAGAATTTATCGAAAAATAGATAGTAATACATCATGGTCCGGGGTTAAAAAGGTCCATCATCGATATGTCTAAAACCAGTGAAGTTAAGCATTGTTTAACAGCAATATTTGAAAGTAGAGGGAAAAATATGTGTAACCAGCTATAACCTTGATTCTTATGACTTTGCTGTCGAGAGATAAACAGTAATTTTTGAAAATCCATATTTTCTTCCGTTGGTAGTTTTTTAGCATTAGTTAAAAATGTAATTATTTTGTGAAATACCTTTAAAATTAATATAAGACATTAAACCTGTTTGCCACCTAGCCGTTGCAATAAAGGTCAAGATAACAAATTTTTGAAAGATAGCAAAAAAGCACATTTTTACAACGATGAAGTAGCTGGCAGTTATATTGAACGTAGTCAGATAATTGTTCGTTTGAAATGTGTAATTTGTTGTGATATGATCGGTTTGATTTTATAATATAATTTATATTTGCTCAAAGTCAAATTGGACCTTTGTGCCTCGCCCTGCTCTACATATACTTTTTATTAAATTTACTTTAATTCATTGAATGTTACTTGAAACTTTTCAAAAAGCAGGTCACAGATGAAGTACTTAATTCATTTTCTATCTTTTCTCGCAGAAATTTGAATTTTTTTATAAGCTCAGTAGTATTATTTATAATTATACACAACATCCAGAATCCAAAATGAATCTGAAAAACTTGAAACGTAAGATAAATAATCAATAAGTCGAAAGACCAAAAAAACTTGGGTTGGATTATACTTTCAGTTTGATTGTATTGACAAAATATAGACAAACTAATGGGGTTTATTATTTTTATAATATTATTTAAATTTTGTTTATATATTTGATTCAAACACGTCGACTAATCTGATAAGTTTTTACATTTTTTTGTAATTTGTACTATAATATTTATTCATAGTCATTTTCGTTGACAGATTATTTTTATTCTTCGAATGTTTAATTACGGTACGGTAAGTTCCAGCAATTTGCCTTAAGGCACGTTGCCATGCGCCCCACTAGTTATTATTTCATTTAATTTTCAGAAATATGAGATTAAATCATCTTATGGATTTATCAAAATCGGATACGATACGTATATGTTTATTATTGTTTACATTATATACAATGCACTGTTTGTATGCACTAAGCATTAGTGCATTTTAGACCTATAAAATATTAATTGTGAAATTCACAGTATATATACATAATAATTTATTTCAAAATTCACAAAAATTTTATTAATCATATAATAAGTGAAATTCTGGCGCAAAATTTTTGTCTTGCTAACCAGAAAACTTGATAAAAATTCTGTTACAAGAAATACTGTGGTCGTGTGCATCGAGCTTTAATGTTAGTAGAACTTCCTGCTGAATCTTGCTCAGTAAAACTTCCTGTTGAATCATCAAATGTCTTTTTCATCTTATAACACAATTAAATACCGCACTTAAAACTTATATTAAGATCTGGTAAACTGAAGAACTGTGCTCACAACCAAAAAAACTACCAACGAAAAAAAAATACTTTTGTTATAAATTTTCGAACGTTGCCGTTTATCTCCCGCTAGCAATGTCGTAAGAATCAAGGCCGGTTATACATATTTTACACTTCACTTTCATATTATAGTTAAAAAAAATTATTTTCTTTGCTTGTTTTTTGAAATATCGGTCGTGGACCTTTTACCCGCGAACCTTTAGGTTCCGCTCTAATCTAAAATTTATCGAATTTTGTTTCATTTTTTCCTTTAAACTGGTTATGGTTTTTGTATAATACGATATTAAAATATTTTACTTGCTTTATATAAAATAAAATAATTTTCTAAAATTTTAAAACAAAAATATAAAAATGATAGATGAATAAAATATGATAATTATTAATAAAATGCTTGATATATAAGAGGATTTGTAATTTTATTATAGTATTGTCACAGTTTTTTTTTAAACATTAATTACATTTCTATTTTTATTGTAATCGTAAAAATATGATTACGGTAAATTTTTCATTTTGTATTTATTTAACTATTGTTTGTATTTTGTCTATATTTTTCATAGGGTTGAAATTGTGATGACAACTAAATTTAGTATGTAATATAAAAAAGAAAACAAAAACATTTGGTGAATATAGATGTCAGTATTTACGTTTCGATAAAATGTTTGCTCAAATATGTTGTATTTAAAAAAAAATCTTTTTAAATCGTGATAGTGCAATATAGTCTTTTATAGAATTAATTCACTCGTCGACGAATAAAAAATCTAGTAAAATATGTTCATGGTTTTTGCTGCCGAGCTCCGCGCGACGGATAGGATGAGGTATATTCTATTCATGCGGCAAATATTCAATTACTATGCTTTGTTTATATTGAGATGGAGGAGATCATGTTCCATTTCGAATAATAATTGTTTTCCTGTGTGAATTTATTTTCCAGCAATGCAATTTCATAGCAATCATGTTAATGCATAGATTAAATTGATTGACTGTGTTTAAGATAAAATGAATAGCAGCAATTCGATTATTTGTATTATACGTATAAAATAAACCTTTAATTGCTTTTTATTCGACTGATAAAGACACTTGAAAAACAAAAAATTAACATATGATTTTTTTTTGTTGATTTTGTTAATTATGCGGAAAACAGATAGCAACATGGAGAAGAGTTTAATGGGTGCTAATGCCTTATTGATTTTAAAAGCTACTCTTAATATAATTACATGTGTGCATTATGATTTTTATTTGCTAATAATTACTATATTACGAACTCTGATGCTTGATTCATTTTTCGAGATGCAATGCTAGTAGACCAACTTGCACTTTGGCCAACAATGAACTTTGAGTATTTTTTAATTCTTGAATAATTAACTGAACCTCAAAAGAAGCAGTAATATACCAAAAATGATTTGCAAGCGTACAGATAATCTTGAAAACAATTTTTATTCTAATGACTTTTCTCTAAGTTGCTGTTCAAATCAGAGTAATGTTTGGAAATTTATTCTAAATACGAATATATAGTATATTGTAGCTATATATTGTATTCTTATGAATAAACTAGTATATATGAGCATAATTTTATTCACTATTATTGATATCAGAATTCTGTCAAGCTCAATTTGGATACAATAAATATGTAATATAAGATTCTTTAGACTTTTCAAACGTTAATAATTTTTTATGAATGTAAAAATTAAGTTTATTTTTATCCAAATTGCATACAATATCTTCATTGTAATTACGTTTAGTAATTAAAACGTAGTTTAGTACGTTTGAATATTATTTTCAATAAATTTAATAAAGCAGTTAATCCTATACTAAATTTATGTGAATATATGTCATATCCATCAATCTTTCTTAAATATTTTACTTTCTATAAATTTTTTGGTATAAAGATTTCTAGTCCATGGTGTTAAATATATTAATTAAACGGCAATTTAAACTTTTAAAAACAATATGAAATGCATATTATAATA